TAGAGAATCACTCGTGCAAAGAGAGAAGCTGTGACAAGCCATTCTGCGGTGGCGTGTAAACTTTATGCTCTCTTTTTTTAATTGCGATCCGCCTGTTTTTTTTTGTCATGCCCACTCCAATTGGAATGGGCAACGGTGTGCTTTTTCATGTCTTGGAACCCAGCTTTGAACCCCGTCACCGCACACAGGGGAGGAACAAGGAATGTAACCAGCCTGCCCTCCCTCCTCTGATCCACATGCTGTTGAGCCACTTGTGTTCCGACGCATCCGGGGCAACACAGGCCCTACCGGAGGTGCAGCCCTGATCTGGGAGGTGAGGCGCGTCACTCGCCGAGGTCTCTGTGTGGCTGAGACCTGGGTCAACTGATCCCTCCATCCGCACCAGGCTGCTACTTGGGGACTACCAGTCGCAGTCTGCTAGTGACGTGACCCAAGCTCAGAACAGTCCTTGATATTTTAACACAAATAAAATCTCGGCTTTGTCCCCCCACAGCCTCTGGTCTCCTCCACAGCAGGGGAATGTGCTATTTTAGGATTACGGTCATCTTGTCGCAGTTTTACTTCTCCTCTTTATGATGATGAGTGATGACTTTATATGCAGTGGCGCAGCTGTATTAAAGTGCAGCAGGGTCAGCACTCTACCACGTTTTAAGAAATCTTTGGACCTTTGCAGACCATTTCAGTGGAAGCAACCGAAAGTGGTTCATCATACTGTAATTTTCCAAAACCACTCAAAAGAATAAGGCCCAGGTAAATTAAGCCTGATGTTCACTCCATTTTTGATAAGAGGTAGGCTAAGTGCACCATAAGTAATCAGTGATCACACCTATTTGTAAATAATAGCTTAGTTTTTTTCTGTTTTATTTTTGTTTTTTTTCTTTTTAACCTTCAAAACACAATCTAATGAAAGCCTGTGTACTGTATTCCATAATCAACAAAGCTCCGGCTTTGTTACAAATCACCTCTGCTCCGCTGCTTTCCAGTCACAGTGTTTTTGGAACATTTTTTACAACATGACCGGAATGGTTTGGACACACCTTCGCACTTAACTTTGTAACCGCATCACAAAAAGCAAAGTTTGCTGCTGTGTATATGTTGTGAGAAGACATCTTACATACATGTCATTAAGGTGTCAGAACGTTACAAAAAATCTCAAGCAAAAAAAAAATCTCATTTGAATAGTCCAGCAGCGTTGTGCTACTGTTGCATTTTGAATGTTGTGAAGACAGCCTCCCCTCTGCATGTCTGCACTGCCACAGGGCTCCTGTGCTAAGATGCAGTAAAGTTGGATGCTGATGAGAATCTTATTTGCTTAGCTGGGTCAGCGCTGGCTTCTCTCATTTCCTGCCTTCCCATCTCATTCTGATGTAATGTTTTAATTTTTTTAGCATTTCGTTTTAATGTTGAATCTTGTTAAAAAGAATACACAAAGGTATATTTTAATTTTAATTATACAGACCTGGGAGTCAATTATATTTTCCAAAGGAAAATAAGTAATTAGATATCTCTGTAGTAAATTGCCTTTGGCTGTAGTTTAGTCCTTGTACACGCTGCACAAATGAGATTAAAACAAAACTAAAAGCAGAGAGGAATATGGAAACTGTCTGAGACTGGAAGCCATGGAGAAATATGGAGTATTATAAATTAGGTAACTTCTAAACCAGTCAGCTACCCACTTATATATTGTCTCATATTTCTCATAATTTTGGGAAAAGTACAGTTTCCAGCCTAGATGTTGATATTGATGCTTACAGACTGTGCGTAGGTAACTCTCTGTATGAGCCACGTTGAAGATCTGTCACAAATCTGCCTATTGACCGTCAGTCTGTTAGAACAATAAAGAAGAAACTATTTTGCAGAAATGCAAAGGAAGTCATGCATTGTCACTTGCAGGCAACGCAGTCCCGAATAATTTAAACTGATTGCAAATATTTTTTCAAAACATATTTTTCCTTAGAAGGTACGGGAGACTGTCTTCCTTACACAAAGGGTTGTTGGAGTCTGGAACAAGTTACTCAGCCATGTTATTGAAGTCGATACCTTGGCTTCCTTTAAGAAATGGCTGGATGAGCTCCTCGGAGCTTTCTCACAGCGCTTTTAGTTTCCCAGAGCACAACTCATAAATTAAATTGTACTAGGTGATAATGCTCTCATGTTATATGACTCAGTGGTGCAAAAAATATGTGCTTGTTCTGCAAAGCAGAGATAGTTCTGGAACAAGCAAGGGAGCTTTGGACAGTCTAGAAGGCAAATTGAAATTGTGGAAATTCTGCCCAGTATATGTAACCCAAAAAGTGAAGGACTTCCTTGCAGCCTTAAATTAGACACAAGCTGATCAATTGATTCTGCCAACACCTGGGGAAAGCCTGATGCTGAGAAAGCCTTACAAGCTAGAAAGGCTATAAAAAAGACATGACTCACGCCGTATTGTTGACGTGACTGAATTCCACACCGAAATGTGTCTCATACTGTCATGGGAACTGCTAGGCGAGCTCAGTGGGATTTTTGTCTGCGTCTTAACAAATCTTGAAATGCGATTTCTGAAAGAATGCAATTATTTTCGCTTTATTTCTCTATATTAGAACTGAGATAAAACAACATCTCTGGGTTGAGCCACAGCAAGCAATAACATGAAAGGCTCTCCCAGGTCACACCAGGAGCTTCAGATAGTTTTCCGCTTGGCTGCCCCCGCAACAAAAGACAGAGCTTGCCGAGCGCCAGGCTTTCCTGTCCTGTATCATCTCCATATTGATCCTCTCCATTACCTCTGTGCCCTGTCCACAGGCTGGAGAGGTGGAGGCGGCACTCAATCTGAAACCTTTTTAGTTTGATGTCAAACTGTCTGCTCGCTTTTTAATGAGGCAATCGCTTGCCCTGCTGACCGGAAACACCTCATTATTCCATGCTGTGTGAGAACAACGAGCATCGGAGGGATTTCTGGGGTGCTGGGGTGCTGGGCCGTCTGTGTGTGTTTGTGAGTAATTGGCTTTTCGAGTGAGATCTTGAATCCGTGCTTGACTGAGCTGTGCTTATGACAGATCAGGGAGGTGCATTATTAGTGTCTGTGAAGGTGCTCCCTATTGATCTTTTGTCAGCCTCCTTCTCTGTGACCCCAACAGGAGGCCACTGGAAGGCACAGCCCCGGTGCTTCCTCAGTACCAGTACCTTCTCCAGTGAAGGAGAGCACAGAAGCCAAGGTGGTACAGAGGTTATCGTAGTAAATTGGCCTACAGTACATGGCACACATTAATGATTTGCCAGAGAAAGAGTACTTTGCATCTCTTAAGTCACATATGAGGAAAAAAAAATATTTATACAGTATACTGTATATTCGTATTGTGGAGAAATCGGTGTTGTGTTGTATATTCAATTACAATGATTCTTTTGAAAGAACAAATATTTAATGTGGTCTTACACTGATTGATAGAAAAATATACCCAAAGCACTGATTTAGAACTGGAATTTCCAAGTTAAAGGTTAAGGGCTTAAGAGGACCATCAATGTCGTACGAAGCCAGAGCCTTTTCTGGAGAAAGACGTTTCATGTCAGAAGTGTTGTACCTTTGTTGACTTAAATACCAAATGAAGGTGCTTTGGGCTTTCCTATGACACTATGTCAACAGCAAAATACCAGTTGTTGTGGAATTCTCTTTGATTCCAAACACATTTGAATTGGCCGACAGTCCTGAAGGTTTTTTTTGTCCTGAGGGGACAGAGGGGACTCTGACTTTGAGGTGTTCAGTCATGATCCCACCATGGGCTTTTGGCTGCATGTGCTCTGCTGTCTTTTATTTCCTACAACAGACTGGGGAAGATCCATATAATCAAACAGTTAGTACACTTGTTAAATTTACTGAAGTTATTTATCCAAAGCCACTTACAGGACATTTGTACCCATTTACACAGCTGGGCATTTTACTGAGTGAAGGACCTAACTCCAGAGCACATCATCAGTGCCCTGACCAGGGAGATGTATTGTACCTTGCGTTGTTTACTTTTATTCTGCTTAAGGAATGTCAATGAAAATGTGACCTACTGCATTTAGTTGAAATCTGTTTAGTTGTTCACATTTTTTTTGTCTTAAGCTCCAGGTAAAATCAGCAGTAGTCACATCAGTTAGTTTTCACTTACTGAGCACTATTGAGCGTTTTTAATTGCTAATCTGCTGTTCTGAAAGTGTGGTAGACATGGATGTGTCATATATCTGAGAGACAGGCATGATGAATAATTTTAATGACACCAGGCCTGAAATACACCACTGGTCATGCTGCAACTTAACAGCTGTATACAGACATGTATTAATGTTTTTAATGGTTTAATTGAGTGTGGTCTTTTGGAGAAGTGACACCAGGAACTGATGTCATTTATAGAGTTCAGCTGGACCATCTCTGAAAACATAGCTAAATCAGGTGAAATTTCCATTCATTGAAAGAACAAGTGTATTACACCACAATTACACCACATGACCCTGTGTTGCTATAACTCCAAGTGTGAGTGAAAGAGTTTCACAATGTCAAGTCACTTTGCCCATTTTTGTGCAATTGTGTGTCCCAGCTGGGAGCACAACAACCACAATAAACAAAAACAAAACATAACATATAGCTTTCAGACAAAGTACAATAACCACAAAAAATAGTAGTAATCTTAGGCTGTACACTTTAGCCAGTTAGCTCACTATTCCTAGAGCTCTCCTCTCTGAGTCACTATTACAGACTGACTAAACACCCCCCCCTACCCCCAGCATACCTATATATACCTTTGGACCATACCATTATCAATGGCATAACATGAATCATAAAACAGATAATCAGTAAATATACATTAACAATCTCTAGATTGTTAGATCGTTTAATAATAGTAGACAACACAGAATCATACAAACCTTCATAATACATACATACAAATTTTATGTGTCACTTCACCCCCCCCCCCCCCCTCTGTTTGCATTGGTAAATTCCCATTGCCATCTCCACGGTTACATAAGAGGCTCTGTAGGAGGAAGTCATGATGTAGGCCGGAAAATAGTTTCCTTGTTCATAAACCTCCTAAAACAACTTGCAAACCAATACAAAATAAAGTGGAGTACAGTATATTGCTACCTTTTCCCTATACCTGCCTTAAGGTATTCATCTTAATCCAATATCCTTACCCTGCCTCTCTCTCTAACTTGTGTGTGCACCTACAGCCTGAGAAAACATGGGTAAGTAACTGTGAAAACCAGCCAAAAAAACGCAATGTTTGCCATCAAAAGTTTGCTAATAAGAAAGGAATCAATAGGTTAATGAGTGACAGTTCATTTTGTCACAAACTGCAATACCATAGCATTATCTGTAGAGTGCTTATGATATTAGTAGGCCTATGAAAACAAATTATATCACAAAATGGAGCAATGGCATTTGGTACAGGTGCATGGGATCTTGAGAATACTTTCTGATGGACAGCACAAAACAGGCAATTTGTGATCTAGAAATGCATTGCGGGATTTCTGGTAAGAGACCTTCTGGCCTGTGCTGTCATGGTCCCGAGTAAAATGTTCCCCATGGTGTCATTTGGGTGGTCATCAAATTCCTTTGCTTTCTGTATTCACAGCACGGGTGTGTAAACAGACAAATTATTTTAATGAGCGCCCTGTTTCACAGCACAGGGGTGCTGAACTCCTGCAGTAGGGACTCCCTAGGGAGAACGTCAGTCAGTTAGTAAGTCGACTGTCCTTCCACTTCACTCCATTACAGTGCATTAAGCTGCTTAATAACTTAACAAGCAGGATCAATACAGTAGTCCGGCTGGTGGTTGCACTGGTACACTAAGTGCACTGCTGCAGCGTGCTGCTGTCTTTGCACTGTAGGGCACAGTGGGCGATCTTGTGTCTCATATGCCTGCATTTTTGGTGCTTTTCTAATTGCTTTCCAGAAACTTTACAATGATATTCCGGGGCCAGTCAATTCCAGAACCCTGCATTTACACTTTCAATCATCAAGCTGGAGCGCATCTCCTTTGACAGCAGACATTGGGCCGGTGTTCTCCTTGACAAAGCACTGACCTGCATCTGTGATGGTGACGTCAGGAGAGCATCGGCTTCAGCGCTGGAAGCAGGGGAAGACGAGCGAATGAAACTTCACAGGGTGAGCAGTAATTTTTGCGATTGCCTCAGTGGAGATCGAGTACGATTGTATGATCATTACAACATATTTGAAGGGGAACTGCAGTCCCAATCTCTCAGACCTGTTATCAAATCTCGGTAACAAATTAAATTCATTGACGGTATAGAAAAATGGTACACATTTTGAATTCAGCACCAAATTGGTGTACTCTGTGCAAGTACTCTATGGTCGCCATTGTTACCGCAAACCGCTGGTCGCGCCACCGGTGAGAGCGAGGGTTCCCCTGAACTGACGTGAGGCGGCCCTTCCTGCTCACTAGTCACTGCCATGACTAACGTACTGCGATGTACGAGTGAGTAAGCACAGGTTGTGTAGCAGGCGTTTCACCGCAGGAATGTTCCAACGTGATCTGCGTGCAGAGTTAACAAGTGAGTAGTATCTGTCGGCAAAGCCGTCTCGGAGTTTCTAAGAGATGTATTCACAAGCCTGCTTTTTTACAACACAAAAGGGCCTTTTCACATCACCGGTTTTGTTACCTTGTTCTATAATGCAAGATGTGACACCTTGTACCCCTGTAGAACAGCAGTGCTTTATCCAGTTCTGTACCAGGAGACGACAACTCTACCTCACACTGCGAGCAGTTAACACCATTCAGAAACCGTTTAGAAACGCTGTGTTAGCTGCTCAGTTGTAAGTTGAGACTGGGAGAAACTGGGAAAAACTGGGAGAAACTGAAACTGGGAGCTCAGCTGTAAGCTGAGAGAAAAGAATGAACAGATGACCAAAACAAAAATAACGTAGTCTTCAAACTATTTATTGAGTTCTTTCTCATTAAAGTTATTTTCCCCAGTGTTTACAGTAGGAGAGGTCAAACAGTAGATTCGTTTTAAATGTTAGATCGATGAATGCTGATCTTGGTAATGTATGCTAAGAACCTCCGTGTGATGGAACCTAGCCTGTCAATCAGTGGAATGGCAGAATCTTAGGACGCGTGCGCACGCGGTGTTATATCACATAGGCGTAGCTGGAGGAATTAACCAGGAGGAATATTTGAGTTTTGAAATTGAAGTCGACGGTGGGCATATCATCTTTGACACCTCATTACGCTCCACTGCTCCACTATTTAAACTGACAAATTACATTTTCTGCAATAGCAGACCATTAACGGTTCGCGCCGTTTCCTATTTGCGCTCCCAAATAAAAGCGTCCCGCGATGAGGCGATAAATTCTCTGCCTGTAGGAGTGTCATGTTTAGTGGGAAAACATTGACTGGGCAACTTTGATATTATGGCAATGCAAAAGAGCTGCGGCGATTAAAATCCAACCGATCCTTATTCTCGTCTTAATTAAACTCAGCCAAGTAGAATAAACAGGAACATGCTGTTTTTTTTCTTTATGTAAATTCTTTATGTCTGTTTTGAAATTAGATTTGCAAATATTTGGGCCAATCGCAGGTATGCCATGAATGATAATGATATGTACATGTACAAATTCCCATTATTGCATTTACTTAAGTTGTATTCAGCGCTGTTTTTAACTCATATCCAATGTCCTCTAAGGTCCTTCGGATGAGACGTAAAACCGAGGTCCTGACTCTCTGTGGTCATTAAAAATCCCAAGGCGTTTCTCGAAAAGAGTAGGGGTGTAACCCCGGCGTCCTGGCCAAATTTC